CCCCAAAACCCCAAAACCCCAAAACCCCGTCTTATTGAATAATACTCAGCAATAGGATAAATTAATGAATATAACTTAGTTATATATTTATTTCGATATTAAACTTTCATTAGGAGTTATCTAATTCGCTTAATTTCTAGTCCTCACTGTTGTTTTTGTTTACTTCTTGCTGAGTGTATTTTTTAACCTTAAACTGGCGATCCCTGATCTAGAATGCGTATTTGGAGTTTATTTATATTGGCTGGAAAAATTATGCTTTAGCTTCTTGTCTGCTCTTTTTATCTTTTATGTTACACATTAATTCCCACATATTCTCCTCGTCCTCATACCCGGGCACTGGAAAGAAATACTTTTACTCTTCTAGACTTTCGTCAATAGTGCCAATTTCATTTTGATTGCCACTGTTAATGAGATTCTATTTAGGATTAAAGTCTTAATAAAACTGATCAACAGAGAGTTTAAGCATATCATCAATCATTCTAGGGAGATAGATTTTAAGTATAGATGAAGATTCCTCGATACAAGGATTTGTATTAACTTCTATGAGCCACAAATTCAGATCTTCATCAATGATAAAATCATAGCCAAATAGCTCAAAGCAAGATTTTCTCTTTTGAGGGTCAAGAATACTTTTTGTAGCGAATATCGATCTTACAATGAGTTGCTTCATCCTATGTACCAAATCATTCTTTACATCAAGTTTATAGTTACTCATGTCAAGATACTCTTGAAACTAATCATATGACATCTAGTTGCCATCCTCAAAGTTACCATAGTTCTCAGAGTATTTTTGAATTGCATTATTGGTAAGGTGAACATATTAATCATCTGGGTTATTGGGGTCAATGCTAAATTCACTGCTTGATGTTCTAAGGTATCCCTCTTTAAATATGTAGCAGGAGAAGTCGTAATTGATAAACACCCAGACTCTTATGTCAAACTTTCTTTAGTGAATAAGCAGAGGTCTCTCAATGTATTTTTAGAGGATGAAGGAATTATGCTTCAGCTTAAACTGATTTGCAGTTTTATTAGATGATGTCTTCTTAAGTTAGAAATAGCTTTCCATGTTTGTAACATTTGGATTAGGCTCAAGATCATGCTTCTTGGTTTGTGGACTTTGAGGGGAATCCTGCTCTTCAATTTCATCCTCCTCTTAATCCATTTCTTAAGACTCATCTAGTTATAGTTGATCTTTTAATCTATCCACATCTTCAGGCTCTGAAGATCTCATTCTTGACATTATGAGAGTGCTTTCTGCTTTGGTACCAGGACTCAATCCCTCATTGCTTGCTGGCTCGATAGCTTTTTATTAAGGATTCTTCTATGGGGCGTTAGAGCTTTTCTAAAAGCCTTCGCAATATTTGTGTATTAAACTCTTAAGCATGCCCAAGTTGTTGTAAACATGAATACCTCTTCCTCTGTTTAGTTTTGTAGGCTTAAGTAGCCAAAGATTGTGGCCACTAAAGTGACAAAACGGCATGGTGTATCTGAAGAAATACTTTTTCAATGTCTTTTCTTTAGATTCCTTCTCTTCTTTTAAATGCTGCTTGATTAGCAATCTTTTGTTATTGTAGAAGTGCTTAAATATGAATTACTCATCATAGGGATCTTCTGAGCCTGCATCTTATGTTGTTTAATTCTAGTCATCTCCTCTCATCTCTTCAATCTTTAAGTAATATTTGATGGTCTTCTTTTTTATATCCTCAAGGGCATAGAAAGAATTCATAAAGGGCATAATTGCCTTGGCATAATACTTTGGGTTACCAATGTCAATCTCAACAAAATATGTCAGTGGAATATAGTCAAACACATTCTCTTTCAGTTTTATAGAATATTAAGTCAGATTCTTAAACAACTTTGACTTCTCAGTTAGATGGCTGTGGAATTCGAAGTGATTTACTAGCTGCTTAGAGCAGGGGTGCATATTGGCAGAGATTTAGGTGCTCACCTGTTCAAATTTTATTCCGTATGATACTGGTTACCATTTAAAATGGAAGTACGGATCACTTGCTACTGCTTCAATCCACTTATGAGACCGCCTTAACATTGCGTCCTTTATGAGTTTGCTGTTATTTCCTGCAAGCACCACGAATTTCAGGAAATTTGGATTCATTGGAAGATATGTTGGATTAGCTGCTGCAGCTTGCTCCTCCATTGAAGACATTTGCATCGATCTCTGGTGAATCTGATATTGATGCTTTTTTAGTTAGTATGTCTAAGGTCCGATGAAATTGATCTGCTGTTGTTAGATTTACTAGGGCGAGCCATTTTAGAATTATTTGTATTTCTATTAAGTATTTTGAATTGAGGCCAGTAGGCCATTGATCTAGTTTTGTTCGTTCAGATATTACTGCTAAAGTTGATGCACTTAGTGCATTTAATTCGCATTAGTGAACTATGCCTAATCTTTAGTTGGCATTGTCATTTTCTGGATTTCTAGAAATCCCATTAGATCTCTACAAATTAGGATAGTATTAAGAAATAAAGTTACTTTTTAAGTGAGGGGTTATTTGATGGATTATTATTAAAATAGAAAGAAGCATTTTATGCTTTGCTCAGATTCCTAAACTGAGAATTTTCTTGTTACCTACTTTGATATAGATGCTGAAGTTGCCCCTTTTTTATTTGATTCATAAAGTTCGCCCCTCCAGCCCCACCTGGTCCAAGAATACCTGCGAATGCTTTGCTATGTAATGATCTCTTAACAAGATGACCTCCTTATCGAGGCATGTGGTAATTTTTTTAATTAGAGGATTAGGCCTGGAGAATCTTGTCTGTCGACATTCCTTAATCGCCTAAAATATTTAGATTTTATTTGGCCAAATTAAAGTCAGCAAAGTTTTATGTCATGCCAAAAGACTACTATCTTATTTACATAGACCGCTTTGATGCAACTTAATATGAGCCATCATTTTCAAATTCTGCAAGCAAATGGTTTTATGGACCTGGAATACTAAACTTGTATTTAGCTAGTTCCTAGGGGCTGAGTTCAAATTTCTTTTAGGTATTTGATGCTACTTGATTTATAGGGGAGTTAGGCTCTAAATTATATAGGTCTTTTGTGAATGATTTGTGTTTTCCCACTCCAAAATATGTTTGGCCAGCCCTGTAGATGTTATGTTCCTTTAGTCTATCTTAGCTGTTGACGTCATATTCCATATAAATGACCTCATTCTCATTCTAATCTTCATTTTGATCATTCTTAATCTTAATAGTTTTTTGAGATTAATTTTTAGGGTCTGATTTTAGCTATTGTCTTTCGGATTAAATCAACTCCCTTTCAAACTGTTAAAGATTCTAAGTGATGTTTATTTGAGGGAGATTCTTAGGGCTGATATTTTATGAAAAGTAAGACTTATCTTAAACATTAATATTCTAGTTAGGCTGTATCCTCTGGCCCTCTACCTTTACAAGTTCTGGTATCTTCACAAAAGAAGATTAATCATCTTAACTGTTTACCCCTATTAATTTGATAATATCTTCAGGCTTTTTCATAAACTCATTATTATTTTGCACCTTTATTTAGCTATCTCTCATCCTATCTTGAATATTCTACTGTAAATTAGTGTTCGTGCCTACTAAATAGTGCTGTCTTTTGTAGTCTAGCATTTTCTAATAGATTTGCATCTCATAATCAAATATTTGCTACTTTTAAGGAGGCTCATTAGGCTTTGCAGCTGAATTTACGACTATTACTGGCTTCACCATATCGAAAAGAACATCATAATGTCTATAATGATTGTAAGTCTTATAATTATGAATGTCATGAGCTATTTTGTGATTTTATTGCTGAGGACCATTAGAGTTTCTTATGCTTTGATTGTTTAAGAAGTTATGCTTGGTGTTCTGAGACAAAGATTTGTTGTTGGTACCAGGAGAATCATTTTCATGCTAAATTTTAACTTAGTTTATTTATTGCAGTTACTAATTTTATTGCTAATTCTTTTATAGCAAAGGTTTATATTTCTAATTTTAAGATCCTGATCTACTATTTTACTGCTAGGTCTAACTTAATGCTCTTCCTAGTATCTTTCAACCTCAATTCTTTAAGTTTTGGGGGATCTCTGCTTTTTGGATCTTTTGCTCATTCGGATTGATTATGAGGTAATCCTTATTTACTTTTATTGGTTTAATATTCTAATCGAGTTTTCTTCCTATAATTATATTCCTATTTGTTAAGTCTTCATTTTGCGAAGCAGTAAAACTTTGAAATTGAGCTAATTTAAGCTCATCCATTATATATTTAGGATTGAAGTCCTTCGAATGGCTTATAACCTCATGGTTGGCGTCAATAGTCTTTTGATTTAACTTGTTGATATGGTCGATTTAAAAAGAAGTTTTATAAGTTTCATAGCTACCTTCATGAAATTAATATTGATTTGACACATTGATGTAGGATTAGCGAGACTTTGGCTCAACACCCTTTTGTATTGTAGGGATCTTTGAGTTTCTTCTCACTCCGAATATCTCTTTGGAGGACCCAGCATTTGACAAAGTCTGCTTGACTTCATTTTAGTTTCTACTATCACTAAAGCTGGATGCTACACCCATTCGTTTAACTTAACTCCTTATTTCAGTCATGCTTTTTTATATTAAGTTAAAGTCAATATCGATAATTAATTAAGAATTTAGCAGATATTTTTGATTAGGCTAAATTTAACAGCGTGGGGTTTTGGGGTTTTGGGGTTTTGGGG